ACCAATGTGAAATCGATAAAAGACACGAAAGTTTGTTAACCCAGTTCGGATTAAATCCTACGTCTGGGGGCGAACCAAGCCAGGAGAATGAACTAGAAAAAGAGGATAAACTGAATGTTACAACTCACACAAGCCTGTATGAATACACTCTCTCTACTCTTTTTCTCTCTATCTCTCTTGTTATGTTTTCTTTTGTTGTGATTTTTACATCATGATTCTAGCTCTATTTATAGAGAAAGAATGCATCAAAATTTCTACAAATGTGTGCTAACATTTTTCTCCCACGGTGTGCTACTCCATTTTTTTTATTTATCTTTGGTAGTTAGAAGAAAATGGGTTGTTGCCCATTGACTTAACAATGTACATCCGTGCATGTGCACATAATGATTACTAGTACTTAATATTTAACATAAAAGTGCACATACTCGTAAACAGATATATAGCATAAGCTCATTAAATAAGCATTTTATTTTTCAATCACAAGTACAGAATTATTTAGACATATTCATAGTAGAGCCTTAATTCTTGTAGCAATAATCGTGTAGGTGATCGATGAACGATCATGCAAGAGTCCATTAAATTAGTTTGGAACGAGACGCATATGGCTGCGCTCAATGTCTCGGCTCATATCAAGACCAATGTTCATGAGCTGGTGTGGGTCAGGCACGGCTTGGGACTTCTTCTCGTACACTAGGGTCCACGTTACCACGTGCTCTCCATCACGACTGGTGTCCACGTCGACAACTAATTTGAAGGTGGTGTAGGCATGCATCAGATCTCCTTCCATCACTGTAAAGGTGATCGATTTCTTGTGCTCGTCTATGGCCTCAATCACCTCTCTTGCTATCTTCTTTTCTCCATCTGCAAATAATTTTTTGATTAAATCCAAAGAACTACACCTTCTTTAAAAAAATAAAAATAAATAAAAGAAAATTGATTGCGTAATAATATAGTGATCCAAGGGATCTAAATTAAAAGAGATTCTATGGTACCGTTATTGAACCATTCCGTGGGGTGTGTAACCGTTAGATAAACTATTCACGACAGTTACATGATGATCTAACGGTTATGTAGTGTTTCCCCTAAATTAAAGAGGAACGTACGTACCAATGGTATAGTACCAGCAGATGACTGATCCAACGGTTCCCCATTGGCCACGCTCCAAATCAACCCGCTCGACTTTTTCAGGACAGATTTCTGCAATCTTGTGGGGTTTGTACCTTAACAGCTCATGGAACAAATTACCATCCGATTTTATGGTGATGTTTGAAACGAGTTTGCCTCTAAGATCCATCTCGAGTTTTAGAAAAAAAAATAAAAAATAAAAATGCAATTATATATATTTTGATAAATTGTTTGAAAAATGTAGTGGTATTTATATACTATATATATACTGTATAATGTACAAGTGGGCTTGGAGGAATCCAAACTAATTGACATGGTGATGGTGCCATTGCTTGAACCTAAAGCTAAATCATTTTATTCATTTTAGTATCTCAGTACATTTCTTTTTTGGAAAAATCATATTGGCATATTGTACATAGAATCATAAAATCATTTGGAATAAGTGTTTTTTTTTTTTTTTAATAAAAAAATCGACTTTGATCTATTTGCACTAAGATAATTCATGGTCTTATTTAGTTTTTTTTTTTTTTTAGTAACCGGCAAAATTTCAAAAATGGTCCATTATGTTGGCTATTTTTCGAAAAAGGTCCATCATATAGGGTGTCATCAATAATGGTCCACTAAATTGTCACTTTTAATCAAAACTCGTACAAATGCCAACATAGTGGACTAAAAGTGATAATCAAATTTAGTCCACTATGTTGGCATTTGTACGAGTTTTGATTAAAAGTGACAATATAGTGGACCATTATTGATGACACCCTAATTTAGCCTGAATTATTGTGCACTATGAGATTGGAATATTTACATGTCGATTTTGAATTTCCGTCGACGGTAATCTTTGAGGTTTCAATAGAAATGCTACTATTTGACTTTTTTGTTTTGTTTATATAATATTTACGTTCTGTATATAAAAATGAGAAGGATAAGTAAACATATACAATTAATATACTTTAGTTTACAATAATATATATCATGTTTGAATATATACGTAATATATACGCAATATACACTGTTGTTTATACTTTATTAAACCTATCCTTCAGGATATACCTTGTTAATTTATTTTTTTTTCGAAACGATAGAATTCATTACTAATACACGTACTTACAACCGGCTCAGTAGACGGAAAAGAGAGGTCTACCAAAGGTAGCCTAAATGCCACAACACAACACAACCATAAAAATCAAATAACTCCCCAACGAGAGAATACTCACTACCCAACGGGAGAATACAAACTCCCCAACAGGAGAATCGACATTCCCCAAACGGAGAAAAATACAAATGCACACTTACAGCACCAAACAAACACAACAAAAAACACAAAACAACTAAGACTAAAACTAAAGCCCTTCCCGCAGCAAAAGTAGCTAAACCGAACACCAACGATGCCGACACCCAAGGCCAACTACCCACACGGACAAGACCCGGTCCAAGCCGCAGATCCAGAAACTGCAGATAAAATCGCCTAACCAAATCTGAGACTAAAAATCCCAAGCCCTCGTCCGAGTAGACAACCCCAAGACCCTCAACCGGAGATTCACAATATACTCCACCTCCCAAGACCCGACAACCTGAGTCCAGGACACAGGGCCCCACCCCGACTCGAGCCGCCTCCGCAAACACAACCCAGAGGCCCCAAGAGCAGAGTTAAACGAGAAAAGGGAGAAAAGTGAAACCGCCCTTATCTCAGCCCCGACTACCACCTCGCCTACCTCCGAGAGGATAAAGGGACTGCAGTCTTCACTCGCAGCCTCGTCGGCAGCCCGCCATAGCCCATACTCCGAGGAAATGCCGGACCCCGACCCACCTTGGCAACCTGTAAGACAGCGAAACCCAAGGGGATGACCCCCATCTTGCCCCGAGGAAAAGGCCGCCTCCACTCCCGACGAGTCACCGAAATGAGACCGCACGGCTCAGAGGACACCACCGTCATGGTGGCCCGAAGGCCTTGCTGGTGGAAGGCATGATTCGCGGCCGATTAGAGGATTAGGTTTACTTTAGGAGTTTGGGGCTTTTCTTAAGTTTACCATAGAATTATGTTAACACAATATATACTTTATTTACTTTAGCATATACGTAACATATAGTTTACCATAGAACTACGTTAACACAATGTATACTTTATTAAACACAACAATAACATCCAGTGTGATATACTATCCATTTGTTTTCTCTCAATTAAATGCCACATATGTCTATATTGATAAACCTCAATTTAGTAATTCTTATGTAATATTGTTCATACAATAGAGAGTAGGTGTTCCAAGTAAATTTTTTTATACAAAATATAAGTTAAGTTAAACAAGATGTATTTTCAAATATTACAAATATTTATAAACACAGGAAACTCATCGAATAATAACCAAACTCGGTCACGAACTCGCTCAACAATCGTGATCAACCAACCAATCGTACGTCGTCCAAAAAAAGTTTCAATTTCATAAAGATCTTCTTGACTAGCGAGTCACTGTCACTCGTGGTAGCAGGAGGAGAAGCGACTACTGCTCCAAATCGATGAATGTGGCGAGGAGATTGTGTATCTAAAAGGAAACTCGATGACTTTTAGAGTGAGGAGGCCGATTTAAAGGCGAGCGTCAAGGATTTGAGGAGAGAGGTCGGTGAGAGGTATGAAATGTTGAATTTCATGAGCAGAGGAAGTTGTGAAGCGGCGGCGTCAACAACAGTGGTGGGGAAAGCTATGGTGGCGTGAAGTTGAGGTACGAAAAGGCTGGAGGTTTAGACGGGGTGTGCTAATTTGGCCTGGTAAGATTATTATTTTTTTTTTTTTAAAAAAAAATTCATTTTGATTCCCCTTTAATTCACCTAATTGAAGGGGAGACTTTATTTGGAAAGATTAGAACATCCTAATCTTGAAAATAATTATCGCTCAAAATCTTAATTGAGAAACTTCTCACCACTGGTATATATGAAAATAAGTCTTATAGATAGTATAGTATGTAAATTTGCCTTAATTTGATTTTCTCACATAGGAAAAATTGCACCACTAATTATACCCTCGTTGTACTTTCGTCCTTTAATTGTTTCCGATTTACAATTGGTACACTAACTTTTTTTTTTGCAATTTTAGTCCAAAATGACATTCCGGTGCTTATTTTCACCGGAATAGCTGATGTGGCGCCCAGTCAGATCGAAATTATATTCTCGGCGTGATGTGGCACGAGGTGGCGCCTAGTCAGATCGAAAAAATTACACTATTGGTCCACTAACTTTACATTCGTTGCATTTTCGTCCTTTAATTGTTTCTGATTTACAAAATCAGAAGAAAAAAAATATTAAGAAAATCAAAAGAAAAAGAAAAAGCTTTAAAAAGAAAATGAAAAGACATGTGGATAAAAAAATTAACAAAAAAAGGATATTAATTAATAAAAAAATCATTTTGTTTAATGATTTTAAACAAAATAAAAAAAATATCTTTTTTTTTTTAAAAATAAAAATACATTTTTTATTTAATTAAAAATAAAATAATTAATAAAAAAAGAAATATAAAACGAAATAAATATTTAATAACAAATATTTTTTGTCTTTATTAAATATTTCGTTTTTGTATTTAATAATTAATCATTAAATAAAAATATTTATCACTCATTATAAATTTATTTCGTTTTTATTAAATATTTCATTTTTATTTAATCATTAAATATTTCATTTTTTATTAAATTAAAAATTAATTTTTATTAAATAAAAAAATATTTTTTTCTTTTTCTTTTGATTTTTCCTTTTTCTTTTTAAGCTTTGTTAATTTTCTTTTGATTTTTTAATATTCTTTTCTGATTTTGTAAAACGGAAACAATTAAAGGACGAAAGTGCAACGAATGTAAAGTTAGTTGACGGATAGTGCAATTTCTTTGATATGACTAGGCGCCACCTCGTGCCACATCACGCCGAAAATGGAAATTCCGATCTGACTGGGCGCCACATCAGCTATTCCGGCGAAAATAAGCACTGCAATGTCATTTTGGACTAAAATTACCAAAAAAAAAGTCAATGTACCAATTGTAAATCGAAAACAATTAAAGGACAAAAGTGTAACGAGGGTATAGTTAGTGGATGAATATTGCAATTTTTCCTCTAACATACATGCGCAAACTACTGACAAACTTGAGGGTCATGATTTTATTACACAACATGAAGCATAATTGTCTGAAACCAATCTTTTATATATAACAAATAAGCCTACCATATTGTTTGATTAATTAAATAACATTAATAAAATTTTATTAACATGGTAGGTTTATTTGTTGTATATAGAAGGTTAGCTCCACTATGGAGCCAACTGTTGGCTTCATAGTAAAACTATATATCATAATTCATTGATGTAAAACACGATCAAACCACCAATTGAACTCGCATCAAATTGATTAAAATTGTCCGATAAACGTCAAGGATAAAATAATTTTTCAACATTCATACAAATAAATTATTTATCCACAATACATGCTCTGATACAACATGTAAACATAAATTAAGGATCTTGAATAAATAATTTGGCGTATACAAAAACACTTACTTGATGTGAAACACGACATAATTGTGTTCTTGATGAGCACACGAGGCTCGATTCGAGTCTCTTGATCCAAATCAGTTTCTCCCTAGTGACTGTCACTTAACGTAGCAGACAACTGATGAGAAAATACTGTGTATCCTAATTGGAGGAGAGATGATTAATTTATATAGAAGAGACTTTAGATCTGGTATGTCCATCAAATATCCAGATTAATGACTTAAATTTGTTTGACCACAACAAAAGTATAGCCCAATAGATAACTAATTATGATCCAATGCTTTTGGTCCACATATTTTTACAATCATTGAAAAATATATGCTAAATAATGGTTGACTTTTATTATTTAATTATATTAGAAAAATTAAGGAGAATCAAGTTGGATTTTAAGTTAAAAATT